CTTTTTTTTTTTTTTTTTTTAAAGACAAGGTCTTACTATGCAGCTCAGGCTGGTCTTGAAATCCCTGCCCTCCTCCTGCCTCAGCCTCCTGAGGGCTGAGGGGCACCTGCTCCACCTCGCCTGGTTCTTTCTGCCTTTTTGACTGAGGCAGCTTTGCCGGTGACCAATCATGAGAACGGGGTGCTGCTGTTAGCGCAGCCAGCCCCACAGTGTGGGGACACACAGTGTCTCCTCATCTTCTGCTTCTGGTTGTCCCTGTCTTTCTCTTTCTCTGTCTCTCTCAGGCAGGGTTTCTATATCTCTGTCTGTCCTTCCTGAGGTTGAGGACAGATGTTCTTAGGGACTTGGGAAACAAAAATAGGGGGCCTGCTGGCCCTGTGGCAGCAGGCAGGGCTCAGCAGGTGGTCTGGCATGGGGTGGGGAGGACATGTGCTTACCTCCAGGGGGGAAGGTCTGGGTGCCTTCACTGCAGATGTGTGGAATGTCTGCAAGGCAGGGAGAGCCAGAGCCGACTTAGTGTGGCCCCAGCCTCCCAGGCCCTTCTACGCCCCGCTCTTCTTGAGGTCCCCAGGCCTGTGATAGCACCTCTTCCCTCCACTGCTCCGCTCTGCCTCTGGGCCTCACTGCCCCACCCCTGCAGGACAGGGAGGCCCCCTGTCTCTGCAGCTCCATGACCCCTACGATCTTGTCCTGTTCCCTGACAGCGCCAAGAGGGTGCCTCAGCGCAGGGGTGATCCCCCTCATACCACGGCGGTCTCTCTTACCCCACTCATCTGTGCCATTGACGATCAGCTGCCTCACTCGAAAGGCCAGGACGCAGCCCTTGGGGAGGGTGACTGCCTCCTTGTGGTTGACAGAGCCCTAGGGTGAGAGCACGAAGACCTGTGAGTCTGCAGAGACCCCATGAAACATGGGCGGGCGTGGGGAAGGGCCAGGCCTGAGGGCCTGAGGGGAGACAGGAAGCTGGGAACCCTTAATCATCTTTCTGCCCGGCAGGACTCGGCAGGACTCGCTGGGCTGGGCTTTGGCCCTGCCACCCTTCTCCAGTGACATCCTCTAAGGAACTGGGTCTTACTCCTTCAGCTGTGTGGAGGGAACTGGGCGGACCTGCTCCTCCCCACCTGCCTGTGTGCCACCCTGCCCTACCCCAAGCTCCTGTGCAGGACCTCACTTGGCTCCTTCTTCCTCTTTGCCTTCTGCCCCGGCTCACCTCCTCCAGAAAGCCCTCCGTGACTAAAGCTCCCCAGGCAGAGGTGTGCAGCCTTACTTCACAGTTTCCAAGCCTGGGTCATCTGGCCTTCACCTAGATGTCTTATTGCTGAGCCTGAGAGCTCTGACAGTAAGGAGGTCTCTGCTTGAGCTTGGGGGCACAGAGAGGGTACATGTGTGAGTGCAAACTGAACCTGCAGCCCCAGCGGGGCGAAGAACGGGAGGGAGAAGCAGCCCTCGGCCTTGCCGGCTCTCTCCAGGGTGACCTCCTGCACTGTCTCCACCACCTCCATCACCACGTACAGGTTCTCGCCACGCTCGCGCATCTCCTTGATGAATGGGTGGTCAGCGGCCAGCTTCCTGGGCAGGACCATAGAGGGGGCTATCCGGGGCCCTGACCCCCAGGCTCTCCGCTCTGCAGCCCGGCCCTCTCTCCAGGGCACTGAGATACACAGGAATGGCCTGCGGCTCCGGCCCCCTGCTGGCTTGCCTCTTGCTTGTCCTCACTCACCTCCATGTCCTCTCTTCTGGGGTTCTTTCTGCCTCTCGCCCCCCTCTCCTACCCAGTTCCTCAGCACCAGCTCCTTCTCTTGGCAAATGTCCCTGACCCTGACCTTGTCTCTCTCTGCCCCTTACATCACCACCCTTATTTCTTCCCTTCCCCTTACTGGCAAATATCCCAAAAGATGCCCCAGGACACTCTGTCTCCTCACCGACCACTCTGACTGCTTGATGACTCAGCTTCTGTTTCCAGGCTCGGCCCCAGTCCCAGCAACCCGCCACCACCCAGGCGGATGACCTCTGGGCACCCCGGCACCCTGTTCTCTGCCTGCATTTCGGCTGCCTACACCCTGCCCATTCTGTCTGCCTCCCCTTTCCAAGTTTATCCGGTTCCCTAAATCGTTCCCTGAGGTTCTGGTCCCTCACCTCTACTCTCTAAGCCCCTTTGGAGTCCCCTAGTTCCAGCCATTTCTTCTTGGTGACTGCCATCCGGCACCTGTCTGTCCAACTCAGCTTCTTCCCAGGGCTCTGCCCGGATTTCTGGCCACCTTGAACATCCCTAGCTGACCCCAGAGCAGAACCACAAACTCCCAGCATCCTCAAGGGTGACTCACAGTCTTTCCCCTACAGGTCACCTCTGCTTCCTGTTTGCCACCTGCCACAGCCACCTTTAGTCTGTCACCTGTGTCACAATCTGGGCCAAAACTCAGGGTCATCTTCCACAAAGCCTTCTCCTTCTCTCTGGCATCTGCCACCAAGTGAAGTCTGTCCTGCTCCTGGCAACAGGCCCTCTGTCTGTCCCTTTTGATTGATTTTTTTTTTTTTCTTTGAGACAGGGTGCTGGTGTTGAGTGAGTTCACCCAGCCTCTCTTACCTCTCCTTGTGCACGGACTCCAGGGCCTTGGGGGCCACACTGAGGGTCTGGACCTCCAGCGTGCTGTTCCGAGACAGCCCAGCTGTGCCTTTGACCTTCACCGTCCTGGGCACGTCCACCTCTCCCTCCACTCGTGCATCCAGCATGTTCTTAAAGCTGAAGCTACCTGCGTCCGTGGGCTCTGCAGGAGGGAGAGGTTGGAGGGGCTGGGCCCATGGGCATCCTGGGTCCCCTCACCACTCAGCCCCTGATCAGATGACACCCAGCCCCAAACCCAGCCCCCACATGGGCTGACCTGAGGGTGAGCTGCCTGGCTCAAGCACATCCAGGAGGGTGTAGTCAGTGTGCACGTAGCGTGCACCCCAGAACAGGGTGCTCTTCCTCTTCCTCAGCACCAGGCAGAATGGGTGGAAGCGCTGGAAGTCGATGAGGCTGTCCAGGGCTGTCAGGTCCCCTCGTGGGTTCAGCTGTCTGGCCAGGGCCCGGGTGACATTTTCGAACATAGTCATTGTCTCTGTGGGGAGGGAAGTGGAAACTGTGAAGGTGGCTGCCAGGAATGTTCATTTTATGATGAAACTTGGGCTTAAAAACTCATATGAAGACTGGGCATGGCGGCGTGCACCTGTAATCCCAGCTCTTGGGAGGCTGTAAACAGGCAGATCACTACGAGTCCCACCTAGTAGTGAGACCCTGAACACCCTGTAGACCCTTCCCTAAAATACAAAAAACAAAAACAAAAACCAAAACCCAACAACTCACATGAGCTGGGCCTGGTTGCATAGGCCTCTAATCCCAGTACTCAGGTGGCTGAGGAGGGAGGATCACTGTGAGTCTGAGGCCAACCTGGGCTACAAAGCGAACTACCTAGTGAGACCCTGCCCAGAAAAAAACAGAAGAAACAAAAACGCAACTCAATTCAGGCCACCTCTGATCCCCTCCCTCCCTCCTCTGGCATCCGGATGCCACCTGTGACTGCACAGTACTTCTGAGACACCTGCCACCCACCTCGATGTTATGATGTGTGTGCTCCTGACTCCCGCCTACTCGATTGTGACTCCCCCTGAGGGCAGGAAGTGGGGCTTAGTCACCACTGCAGCCTCAGCACTGAGCGAGCTCGGTGCCCCACACGGGGCAGCTTGGCAAGCAATTGCGGGGAGGACTGGGGATGAAGGCGGCCTTGGAACAGCTGGCATGGGGGCCTCGTGTTCCCAGGAGCTGAGCGGCACCACCCACGATCTGCCTCAAGGTTGAAGCCTCAGTGCTCCAGCTGGGTGGCTGGGGCACACCCAGGCTCCCCCGTGGGTGGGAGACGACACACCAGCTGGCCTGGAGGTGTCCTGAGCAGGCTGACACAGGAGGCAGGGTGCAGAAGCGCGGGCTGACACAGGAGGCAGGGTGCAGAAGCGCGCCTGCTCTCCCAGCTCTCAAATGCTTTCTTGCCCCCATTCCTGGGAGGCCGGGATGGGGCTCCTGGGGTCTCCTGGGGAGGCCCACACGCTCCAGCCCCACCTGTCTCCCTAGGTCCCCTGAGTGCCACCTGCCTCATGGGCTGTCTTAGTTCTTACCAGGGGGTGATGCTGGGTCTTCTCTCGCAGTTGGGTGTGGAGTGAGGGCCCTGGTGTGCTGTCTGCAGGTTGACCGGACGATTGTCCTTTGCCAGGCTGGGCAGCTTTATGCCTTGGTGGAGAGAGAGACATCGCCTTCAGGGACCCCGCCCAGCCCCGTGACCCCACCCCTCCCCCCACTTCCGGGAGAACAGCATCAACCTGTTCCAGGTGGTGCCCCAGCTGGCCTGGGCCTCTTTTGAGCCGAGAGGGTGGGTGGGGAGCTGCTACACAGGTGGCAGCGTAGGTGGGGGCAGCCAGGGCTGGCAGGGAGATGGAGGCTGAAGGTTGGCTTGTGGGCACCTTAGGGGGTACAGAGAGGCATTCTGAGCTGAGGCACAAGGACATGTGTGTTCGTGTGTGTGCTCACATCATACATGTACATGTGCATCTGTGAGGGACTCGGCATCTTTGTTCAGACCTCCTCATGATCGACCAGGAAGCATGTATGATTCATGGTAGACCTGTGGGTGGGATGAGGGGCTAAGACACCCTTTACTTGTGTTGTCAATGTTCTGGGACAGGGCCTCTGTAGGTGGGCCAGGCTGGGCTTGAACTCAAGGTGGTCCTCCTGCTTCAGCCTCCTGAGTGCTGAGATGACAGGTGTGGGTCACCACGCCTGGCCTTTTCTGCTGTTTTGTTCTCCCACCTCTGCCTTTCCTGGGACACTGGGTAGCCCAGACACAGAGGCAGAGGGCCAGTGTGACAGGCTTGGGAGTGCTCAAGACCAAGTCATTGTCTCACAGCAGGTCCCACCGGTCCCATGCTTCTCTTTAGTCTCTTCCTAGAAAGTGCAAAAGGGGAGCTTACCAGGCACAATGGTGCACACCTGTCACCCCAGCACTGGAGAGGCTGAGGCAGGAGGATCGATGTTTTAGGCCAGCTCGGTCTACATGGTGAGCTCCTGTCTCAAAAAAGGCCATAAATAAATAAATAAATAAATAAATAAATAAATAAATAAATAAATAAATAAATTTAAAAAGAGGAGCCTTGTACACACTGGGCAAGTCCTAGATGACAAATTAAGGGATTTGTAAGCAAGGCCTGGGAGTGTGGGGATACCAGTCATGCACGTGTACATGTAGAACCTGGGCAAGTGGGAGCCCCTGGGCTGGCACCTTGAGGCTCCGGGGGGCTGGCGGAGAGCCGGGAGGTAAGACCATGCCCCACTCAGTGAAACCCTCCAATCTCCCTCTGCCTTGGTCTCATCCACAGGACCAAGATCTAGCTCTTCCGTAGGTCTTAAAGGCAACACCTTGTCCCCACTCTCTGGTTCCTGTCCCTTGTCTTTTGCTGGGTTTCCTTCCCACCTACCTCACACCCGACTTTCGGGGTGCTGAGGATTGAATCTGTGACCCTACGCGTGCAGGTGCTTTACCATGAGCTTGTATTGCCAGCCCGTTACAAAGAAACTACTTTTTCTCAGGCTGGCCTTAAATTTGATTTTAGTCGGACTGATCTGTTAGAACTGTTTAGTTGACAAGGGCAGGTCCGGGTCCTGGGCGGGACGCGCCGGCAGGTTTGCTCTCTATCGCCCTCTGGCATCCAGTCAAGGAAGCGAATTGATTTCAGGGTCTGGCTGAGCTGCTGAGCTCATCCCTGGCCCCAAATCATCACCATTACTGAGATTGGGGATCACTGTGCAATCCAGGCTGGCTTCAGACTTGCAGCGATTCTTGGGCCTGAGCCTCCCCAGGGCTGGGGTGACAGGCATGCACCGCCCGGCTCTTTCTTTCTTGTGTTACTTATGATTGAAGCTAGCATCTCTTTTGCAATTCTCCTCTCTCAGCCTCCCAGAGTGCTGGAATTACACCTGGTCACCTGGTTCACTCTTTTTCCTTTCCTTTCCCTCCCTCCCTTTCCTTCCTTTTCCTTCCTTCCTTCCTTCCTTCCTTCCTTCCTTCCTTCCTTCCCAATGCTGGGGATCAAACCCAGGCCCACATATATGCTAAGCAATTGCCTTATCACTGAGCTACACATTTTCTTTTTGTCTTTTTTTAAGTACTGGGAATTAAACTCAGGACCTCACACTTGCCAGGCAGGCACTGTGCCATTGAGCTAAATCCCCAGCTTTTCTTTTTTTTGTCTTTTTGACACAGGGTCTCACTATGCAGTTCAGGCTGGCCTTGAGTTCACTTTGTAGCCTAGGCTGGCCTTGAACTCTCAGTGATCCTCCTGCCTCAGCCTTCTGAGTTCTGAGTTTAGATGTGTGCCATCACGCCTGACCTTTTTTTTTTTTTTTTTTTTTTACTTATGCCCTGAAAATGTTTCCTCTGAATTTCTTCACCTGACTTAGAACCCCAGCTATACCTCAGCCCCTGGCTGAGCATTCACTGACATTCAGCTTGAAGCGCATCAAATGCAGCACCAGGCCTCCAGGGTCACCACCCCTCGAGCGCTCCCCTACCCACCAGGCTGGATTTGGCATACAGGCAGTGCCATCCGGAACATAAGGACACCCTCCGTCAGCCAGTCTCCCTGCACCTGGCTCTTCCCTCCCTCTGCCCATGTGGTGGGCAGTCGCAGCAGTGGAGTTGTCTTCGCTGGGACCCATGGGCCTCGGCCCCAGATCCTCCACACAGAGCCTGCGTCCCAGCTGCAGCAGGCGAAGCTAAGCAGAGCTCAGAGCCAAAACCTCTCTCTGTCTTCACCTGCTTTCCCAGACCTGACCCAAGCCCTATCCTGCTGTCCCAAGCAATGGGAAACCTTTCCTGCCCGGGGACCCTTGGTGGACAAAATGTCAGGAGAATCAGCGATTCCTTACCAAGATCCCCAAATGTGGAGAGATTGGAGAGCACAGAGCCAGGAGGCTTCTGGATCCAGGGCGGAGCAAACCTTGTCCTCCAGTGTAGCAAGGCCAAAGTCCCATCAGGACACGGATAACCAACTCTTTACTCCAAAGACCACAGAGCAGTTCAGAGAGAAGACAGAAGGGCCCTGCCTGCCCTGGGGAAAAATTGTATCCGCTTGGCTTCTGTCTGCAAAACAGGGAAAACTGATCCCAGGATGCTTTGCATTTGTGGAACCGCCAGACTGTGCAGTAAAAAAATTAAATCTTACAGATGTGGCATGATAGGCCACATCTGTAATCCTGGCTTCTGGAGAGGCTGAAGCAGCAACTCAGCGAGACCTGTCTCAGAATATAATAAAAAGTGGGAGTGCTTGCCTGGCAAGGAGGGGACCTGGGTTCCACCTTCAGAACAAAATCACCTTGTATCCATCTGTGACACATTCCCCTCATGCCTATTGATGCCAGAGTGGGGTAGAAATGGCCAAAGATTAAGAATATGGAGGTTGGGGCTGGTGAGATGGCTCAGTGGTCTAAAGCACCTACTTAGAACAAGCTTAGCAAAGCACAGGGACCACGGTTCAGTCCCCCAGCACCACATGCCAGCCAGCCCCGCCCCCTGGTGGGTGAGCTGGCCACACACACACACACACACTCACACACACAAATAAATAAATAAATTAAAAAAAAAAAAAGAATATGGAGGTGTAAGTTTTGTGGATCTGTGCCGGGGCTTGCAGAGTGGCCCTGAAGTCCTTCAAGATGCTGGGGCTCACATGCTCACCCATGAGTGTGTGTGTGTGAGGGGGATGGATGAGCTCAAATGCAATTTTGCCAGAGTTGCTAGTGCCCAGGTCTGTCCTGTGACCCTGAAAGCCATGCCAGCCCTTTTTCGGGACACTTGGTCTACAGCTGTTGTTTCTGGCCCAGCTCAGCAGGGGTGAAGAAGAGAGCCCTGAGGGCCAGGGGCTGATGTCTCTCTTTAGGGGCCACAATTTTAAGGTGACTCTATCCTCTCCACTGGCATCTCGACTAATAATGCTTAACATTTTTGACAAAGAGCTCCACTTTTCATTTGGCACGGGGACCCATAATTAGGCAGTGGGTTCTGGTTGGTACCATTGGGCCCACCCGACTCAACAGGTGGGGAGGGTGTCCCAGCCACCCGGGTGCAGCTGGCTAGAAATCTCTGCACCCCAGTCCTAGAATTTGCGCCTTGTGACCCGGCAGAGAAGTGACACAATGAGCTGTCTAGGTACAGCGCAGGTAGAGGCGAGAGTGTCCTCAGAGGACAGTGGGCATCTCCTCAGGGCAGTGGCCCGGTCTCTTACCCCAGGCAAGGTAAGAGGGCTCAGTAAGGCGGGTCCAGCCCTACACAAACCTACCTCCAGCCCTAGCCCCGCCCCCATAATAGACCCCGCCCACCTGCCTTAAGCTCCGCCTCCACCATGTGCCGCCATCTTTCAGAACTACATCCCTTGCCCTCTACATCTCAAGCTCCGCCTTGTGCTTCTTTAGTCACCAAGATTCCGCCACGGGTGGCTCCGTCCCTCCCCATCTATTTTAAGCTCCGCCTCGCGTTTCCTTGGTCCTGCCTGTCTTCACCTAGCCCCGCCTCGTTGCTGCGTACACCCCGCGGGTCTGTCTGTCTGTCTGTCTGGTTTCCTTGGTCCTGCCTGTCTTCACCTAGCCCCGCCTCGTTGCTGCGTACACCCCGCGGGTGGTCCGCAGCCTGGCTCCCCGGTCGGACCCTTTTCTCTTTCCGCCACGCCCCTCCCTCCCCGCCCCTCTATCGCTCCTCCCCTCCAGTTGCCACGCCCCTTCACTACTCCCTCCCTCTCGCCCCCTCCTCCACCATTGCCCGCCCCTCGCACCCTCCCTCGCCCCGCCCCC